GCTTGGATTCAGTTCTAGCTGTGCCACATATTAGCTGTGTAGCTTTTATTACTCAATCTTCCTAATCCTCTGGTTCCTCATTTGTAAAATGAAGATAGTAATATTGTCTACTCCATAGGGTGTTTGTGATGATTAAATAAGATAATATACATAATTTACTTTGCTCAGCGTCTGGAACATCAGTTGTTAGGACTAATAATTTCTCTGCCACATGTATATATTATTACAAATTTATTTCTGAAAATAAAGGTGGTTTTATGTTTTATTTTCCTAACTGGTATATAAGTTCCTGCAGCCTAATGTCCATGTGTTTTTCCTTATCTAGAAATGATGCATTATGACATTTATGCTTATAAGACTTATGGGAAGAAAACTTTTTTTAAAAAGTGATATCGTATCACTTTTTGCCATATTCTGTTTGTTAGAAGCAAGTTACTAGGTCCAGTCCACATTTAAGTGAGTAAATTGGAATTTTGAGGAAAGCTGTTCAAATCAAGCAACAATTTTTTCTTATTTTTTTCCCTGCATATTTGGTATGTGCCATTCCATGGTATGGAAGCATAAATCTTTCTCAGCCTTGCATTCCAATAGAAACATTCCTTATATTCCTCGTATCCCACCCTTCTTCTATTCAAAAACTCTCTGCTGTCCTTTTTGTAACTGTCTATAGGTCTTTCCCCTTGCTTTCTCTGTATAGATTATTTACAGATTATAAATTACTAATCTGTACTATTAAGCAACTTAAAACCAATGCCATTATACCTCTAAGTTTACTATAATGAATCTTGACTTTTATAGAAAGGTATATTCACTGAAAATAAGTAATGTAATTTATGCCACTTTCATGAGGTTTGGGCTTAGAAAAATCTGTCTCATGGTGCCATATTAAGATTTTGATGCTGGGGCGCCTGGGTCATGTGCCAACTTCAGCTCAGGTCATTATCTCATGGTTCATGAGTCCAAGCACTGCATCAGGCTCTGTGCTGACAGCTCAGGATCCTGTGTCTCTCTCTTTCTCTGCCCCTCCCCTGCTCGTACACTGTCTGTCTGTCTATCTCTCTCTCAAAAAAAAAAAAATTTTTTTTAATTTTTAATAAAAAAATGATTCTGATGCTACAGCTAACATTTGCTGATTTATCTCTTAGTACTGATTTGTTTTTCTTGATCAACATAGAATAAAGAACAAAGATAACTTACCACCCCTTTGAACTGTAACTTTCTGACCACTATTCAAAAAAAACTTTTTTTTTTAATGTTTTATTTATTTCTAGGAGAGAGAGAGAGAGAGAGAGACAGCGTGAGCAGGGGAGGGTCAGAGAGAGAGGGAGTCACAGACTGAAACATGTTCCAGGCTCTGAGCTGGCAGTCAGCATAGAGCCCGACGCGGAGCTCGAACCCACAAACTGCGAGATCATGACCTAAGCAAAAGTTGGACGCCCAACCGACTAAGCCACCCAGGCGCCCCAAAAAACTTTTAAGTATAACATTATTTGTCACCAGTATGTGGCCAGTATTTAAACATATTTGTGCTAAAAAAAAAATACACAAATCACATACCTTGTAGAAAATTAACTATATGCAGTTACCATCTTAGGCTATATTTACTATATGAGAACAGATATCCTTACTTGCAACAGGATTTCCTAAATTGTAAACCAGGGAACTGAGAAGTTAGTTTATGCTACATGAAGGAGGCTGAATTACAAGATCTGTGAATGTGGGACTTGTCCAACTTTTTCATCACTGTATACCTAGTGCTCAGACCAGTGATGGCTATATAATACTCAATAAATACTAAGTGAATCAATGGTCAAGTATAAAATAATGGCAACTACTAAAAATTGGGACATTTTGCAAATAAGGAAAATATCAGAAAAAAAAGTAGAGGTAAATACTAGAGATAAGTAATAGTAGATACAAGGGCGCCTAGGTGGCTCAGCTGGTTAAGCATCCAGCTTCAGTTCAGGTCATGATCTCACAGTTCATAAGTTTGAGCCCCACGTTGGGCTCTGTGCTGACAGTTCAGAGCCTGGAGCCTGCTTCAGATTATATGTCTCCTTCTCTCTCTGCCCCTCCCCAGCTCACGGTCTGTCTCTCTCTGTCTCAAAAATAAATAAACCATTAAAACTTTTTTTAAAAAGTAATAGTAGATACCAAGGACATAAAATCAGTATATGAAACATATGCAAATTCTCCTAAGAGCTGCTGTGTCAGATAATACATACATACACACCACCCAGAACATTCAGCAGATTATTTGGAAAACATTAGGATGATGTGAGGAACAATTTGTACTATAAGTATATCTTTTGGCATTAGACAAACCAGTCCTTGAAGAAAGGACAGCTACTGCAAACACATAGCTTCAGCACCACCAGTAAGGCTGGATTCCTAATTCCCCGTTCTTCAATTTCTCAGGGAGATGAAAAGAAAATACCACATTCAAACAACTGAAGAAGGTATTAAATTCTTTATGTATGCCCTCCCAAAAAAATTCTCATGAGGGCTGACCTGGGAGAGTCCATTCTAGACCATTCCCCTACTTCCTTCCCTAGCACTTCAGCTTTCCATGTCACATCATCAGACTGTACCAGTCACTGCCTTCCTTGATACAGCTTCTGTACACTCTGAGGTCCTACCAGTCTTTAAGGATTTTAGCTACTAGTTCATCAGAATCCCTACTTTCCTACCCACTTTATTTTCAAAACTTACCTGTTACTTTTCATGTAACTGTCTTTCCCAGTCTGTACTATTATAGTACAGTGAAATAATTCTTCCTAGAATGGTGCTTTTCTCTTTTAGCCTACATGATTAGATCATGTTGTTTTAGTGTGCAGTTTCTAGAATAAATCCCAGATTTGGAAGCCAACAGAGAGTAAGTTTGTTATTTAGACAAATGTGAGTTTTGAGGATAATACTTTCCTTACTGTGACCAGTATGTAAATACGTAGCTTTCCACATTAGAATAAATTGTGCTATGGATGAGGAAATCCAGGCCAGTAGGGGAATAATATGGAAATACCACATTATAGAAGTAACGCTTCTCTACCATAATTTGTATCTCAAACATATGTCTATTCAAAGCAGACATTAGACACCTCAGTTTAAAACCCAAAGGAACACTCAGTGAGAAATATCAGTCTTAGAGATTTCAGTGAAGCATTCAAGATTCTTGAGCTTGTCAAACACCGCTTTATATCCCAGCCAAATAGTCATCACCATACATCAGTGTGCACATAGTACTTCTTGTACACACACTGGGGGCAATTGTGTAGGCAAGAAAACACTACTATAAGTGTTGCCAGCAGTGAGTACTTTCTGTCTCTTTATATCCTGTATCTGCAGTGATTCCCACTTCAGTGGGAGAGAATCAGAAGTAGGGTGTTGTGATGGAAGGTTATTAGCATTTAAAAGCCTGTTTTCTTAGCTAAGTGCCAAACTAATGAGTTACTATGTATAGTCCCTAATCTTTTAAAAATTTAATTCCTAAATAGCAAAAGAGAGAACAACTATGTGTGTGTATGTGTGGGTGACTTTTTGCTTATTTATTTATGTCTAAGTTATTAGTAAAAAGACTACAGGGTTATCAAATACTAGATAAAATTAGATAAATTTTCGTTTTTTAGGAAGCATATTTTAAACATTTCCAGCTTTTTGAGATACAATTGATGTATAATATTATGTAAGTTTAAGGTGTATAATATGCATGATTTCATATATATATATCGCAAAATGATTACTGATGAAATTTGTGGACAATCTCTCCAGAAAATTGCACCTACATACAAAATTTTGCGTACTGTGTACATTTTCAAAAAATTAATAAAACATTTAGGTTTGTTGCCATGGGTAATAATTTTAATCCAAAAACTGGTCTGAAGAAATCAAAATTAACAAGAAAGGCTGGACTAGAGTGTTCTGATGAAGTTGCGTTATTGCTAACTCTTCATTCCATATCCTCAAGCAAGGCATCTAAATACTCCCCTCTGCAACTAGAGAGATTCCCTAAAAGTTGATTCTTTAACTTAGGCTCTTAAGGCTCTTTAACTTAGATGAGTTATTTAAAGAAGGCAGTAATTTGAAAGAGAAGGAAGGGTAAGTAGGAGAGATTCAGACACCTTCACTTTTAAGAGATGAGGTCCTATAATTAAAGATTCTTGGATGCCTGGGTGGCTCAGTCAATTAAGAATCCAGCTTTGGCTCAGGTCATGATCTCACAGTTTCCTGAGTTCAAGCCCCCTCATCAAGCTCTGTGCTGACAGCTCCAAGCCTGGAGCCTGCTTCAGATTCTATGCCTCCCTCTGTCTCTCTTTTCTTCCCTCGCTTGCACTCTGTCTCTCTCAAAAATAAATAAAGATTACCAAAACAATTTTTTTAAAGATTCCTTAGATTTTTATGTACCTTCCCCAACTTAGGCTATTTTTCCTCAATTGAGGATTGACAGTGACCTGTGTCATTGATAGCCTCACATGGATCTAGTTTTCCCACCTACTTCCCAGACCATTCTTCCCTACTTTTCTGTCCTCTGGTCCATACTGAGATGTAGTTCTTAGAGCTATGGAAAACACCTTAGGCCGCCATCTTAACCTCAAACTTCTATTTACCCTTAACATAGTGGACAGATTTTTCTAAACAATTTTTCAAAAACCTGTTTGGCAAGCCTATTTTTAAAAATTAGGGTTAAAATGCCCTCACGTTGGCTGTACACTCTGCAGTTCAATATACACTTTATCATTTCCTACTATGATTAACCCAGCCATGACAGATATATTAAAACTGCTTGTATCTTGAAGGTATTTGAATTTACAGATTCAACTATGGGCTACTGGGAGTCGTTACTTTTTTTTTTTTTTTTTTAGACAGTAGCAAAGAAGCCCTGGAGGATGGAAGAATTAAAATTTCCTGTACTCCCTCCCTATTAAAACATACAATTTCAGGAGATTCATAGTCTTCTAAAAGAGCAGGTAGCAGAAGACCTCGGATCAAGAGTTCCTGATTTAGCGCTTGCTTTGGCAGCACATATACTAAAATTGGAACGATACAGAGATTAGCATGGCTCCTGCACAAGGATGACACACACATTCATGAAACATTCCATATTTTTAAAAAGAAAAACGAGTTCCTGATTTAGATCATATTTAGCTTATATCTGCTACCGTTTGGATATCATTTGTTATTAGCTGCTCTGGCTAGCTATAGCAGGAGAAAACATTATGGATGATAAAACAGTTGAAACATGAAGTTACTTTGAAAAGAAAACCACTAAGGGAGACTTTCTTCAACCAATAACTTCTAGCGGTATTAGGAAAATATTGGCCATCTCCAACACTGTGGTCATCAGATGACTCATTCTTGTAGCTCTTCCACTGCTGTCTACTTCCTCCATCCCCACCGATCATCATCCTATAGACACTAGCTAGCTCTTTTCTACCGCAGTTCTACAAGGTTATGTTAAGAATTATCTTAAGAGATGAACTACAGTACTATAACCCAGTCACCTTTTACCACTACTACTATTGCTTATTATTTCTAATAATTCTTTTGTCTTTTCAGACTCCTGATTATTCAAAAATATTTGTAGAAATAATCTGAAGATAGGACACTGCTTATCCCCCTCCCCCTCTTCCAGAGAAGATTGTATTTGCTTCTCCCACCTGAGACCATTTTGATCCAAGTTCAGAGTGTGGTTTCCTGGGCTAATCAAATGACACAAGTCAGAACTGCAAGGCCTAGTTTACTTCTGGTTTATCTTTACTCCCAGAGTACAGTTAAGTGTCCCAGCCCAAAGTGTAGGGTGCTTTACTAGATTTCCCACTCTTGGCAGATCTTAGACTCCAGTGTTATTCCTCTTACCTTGTGAGATGGGCTGAAGCACAGCTCAGCTGTTCAGTCATTTCTTCCCTGTTAACAAATGCCCCTGGCGTTCAAGGGGCCATCCATGCTGGGCAAGATCTCCCTTCTGGATTTCCATCTTCTTCCTGGTTTTGTCTTTTGATTTATCACCATCTTGTTAGGTCTTTAATGCTTTTCAAAAGATTTTTAAGGTGTATTTTGTCCAGTTTTTATTAGTTGTCATCAGCTAGAGGGTCTCCAGTTACTGAAAGGTCCCTGCCACCACCATTTACTTTGGGGTGGGGGGGGAGGGTGCGGAATTCCAACATTTATATTTTTAGATTGTATACACATTCTAAAGTGTATAAACAAAACATATTTTTCATTCTGTGCTCCTCATGGGAACAAACTATACACTAAAACAGTCTTAGAATACTACCTCTTTGAATAAACCAGTCTCCATAAGTTCTGGGAGCTATATAATAAGAAATTGAAATGGTGGGGCACCTGGGTGGTTCAGTTGGTTAAGCAGCCAACTTCGGCTCAGGTCATGATCTCACAGTTCTTGGATTCGGGCCCTGTCTCAGGCTCTGTACAGACGGCTCAGAGTCTGGAGCCTGCTTTAGATTCTCTCTCTCTCTCTCTCTCTCTCTCTCTCAAATAACAAAACATTAGGGAAAAAATGGTATTATTAGCTACACCTAGGTGATTACTTGAAATACAAAGAAGTTCTCTTTTCCAACAGGCTTTTAGGGTTGATTCGTGGTCCATCTGTTTGAGCAAGGTGCCTCCTATCTGGACTTGGAAACTCAGTCTCTGATTTGTATTTTGCATCAGACTTTGCAAGTTTTGCCTATTGTGATTATGATACTACCCATGATACAAAATTGTTGAAAAACTTGCCTTTATTTTCCTGATCTCCATTTGTCCTCATTTCACCTGTTACCATTAGCTTGGAGAGGAAAATGTCTCTTTTATCCAGCCACAAATCTTAAATATATTTCATAGATCATTGAGATAAGTTCAGCATTATTATGTTTTCTGCTTCGATCTTAACTTCTGTAGGAACCAAAAAAGTTCAATTATAAATGTGAGTAGATGAAACTGATATTTCTGTTGTTGCCAAAAAAAAAAAAAAATAGGGAATAGGAGTCATCGTGCAAAATGATTAGAGAATTTCTTTTCATGTTTGAAGAGAATTGTGAGGCACAAGCTTGCTACAGTCTGGCTCTCTCTTACTTGGCTCTGTTGCAAACCAATTTAAAAGGAATGTTCTTATCTGCTGGTTAATGTTTTATTAAAACATTGAATATCAAAAGCCACACAATACATTTTTGTACTTACCACAGAATGACTAGTGTATATATTATAGACTTTTCTATTAATCCATGGAAATCATCTTTGGCTACTGTAGAACAGAAGGCTACTCTTAAAATCTAAAGATATTCTTTGTTTTATAGAATTTTTCTATTTATAAGTCTTAAATTTAAAGAACATTGGTTAGAATTCATTTATGTATGAGTAAAACTTCCATTACAGTCAAGGCCATAAAATATGGATGCTATTTTCTGGTATCTTAACAAAACAATGATGCTGATTTTCTTAGTTAAAATTGTATACAATGAGTTCTTTAATACAACAAATGCCTTATCTGGTCTCTAACCAAGTAACATTTTTTATAATGGCACAGATAATGTGCTGTTTGCCCTGGAGAAAAGAGAGAGTTAAACTATAGATGGGTCATAGTGGCATTTTTCCAATGAGAGCTTTTGAATAACTGTTATTCCTCAAACATTTCTTTTCAAATATCCAGTCAAGTAAAAACACTAAAATTATCAAAAACACCCATGTGAACTATTTAATGCATTTTCTGCCTTATACTTACCACTGTATCCATAATGCTTATTGTGGTAAATGACTAGTGCATAGTAGATGTTCATTTAGTGTGTGTTGAATGAATGAAATGAACTCAAAAAGCCAGAGGAAGACAAAATGAAACAATTTAATGTGTTATAAACGTATATATGAATAATACGGATTTCTCTTTACTAAAAATACATCTTTTCACTTTCTAATTTACTACAGAGAGGTTCAGAAGCTTGAACAACTAGAGCTGTATAATAAAACTGGAGCTCAGTTTTGGGAGGATGTGGTAAAGCCAGTGTGCTGGCTTCAACACTTACTGTGACAAATAACAGCTCTGCTTTTAACAGCCACCCATTTTCTAATATTCATCAGAAAAGAAAATTTTAGGTAATCATTTAAGAACTAAAATGAAAATATAACCAGGTTTGCTTTGGCATTTGGGCCAAGCTAATCATAGGTTTTATAACTCTGTTAGAAAGAATTGGGTTTTTTACTTGATTAAATGTGGTACATACAAATTTCTGAGTTTTTGAAATAGATGAGAACAAGCAGTTTATAATTAATGGATCATAAAGGAAAATGTAAACAGCTTGATGTGAAAATGCCAAGAGAATGCTGAGAATTTAAAGTCTATAGACTGAGACCCTGTGTAGCGTGCCATGTTAGGGATGCAGATTAAGGGTTTGGATACATTAGCTGTTAGACATTCATTTCTTGACAATTTTAGTCATTGTCTAATCCCTCTGCGGTTTGGCTACTTTAAATAGGAGACACTATTTTGCAAATCTAAAGTGTAAACCGTCTCTGAAAGGAGAGTTGGTATCATCAAGAAAAATAAGGACCAAAATGTTCAGCACTTGTTTGTTTACAGCATTCTCTTTCTTGCCTGCATTATATTTCTCATACAATTTACTACGATTTAATTAATTGATCGCCTGTTTTCCTTCTTGAGACTATAACCTCCTTAGTAATAAGGGCTGTGCCCCTTGTTCATAAATGTACATGTAACACCTGATACAGTACCAGACACACAAAAAGTAAATATTTAATGAATGCTTAATGAGTTACTGAATGCTTTCCTATACTTATTGTCTGTCATCAGATAATGCAGAATGCTATTAAAGATAAAAATAAATACAATAAAAATATAAACAGTTTGTTTTCAGCAATCACATATTTCCTGATAAAATAATAAAGTAGTTGAGAACATAGGCTCAGGAGCCATACAGCCTGAACCTCAGTATTAACTGTCACTTACTGAACTCTGTAACCATGGGCAAGCAAGAACTCAGTCTTTGTGTACCTCACTTTTACTATCTGTAAATAGGAAATGTTGTGAAGGTTAAATGATTTAATACATGCACAACATTTAGAAAAGTACTGGACACTAATATCCCAGTAAACGTTAACTATTGTTGTTACTACTATACTACTACTAGTACTACTATCAATATTATTATTCCATAAATAAATCTAAAATGGTCTTCTAAAACATTAGATATGCTGCATTTAATCCATTTTGAACTTAGAGCTCCATATTTGTGTTGAATCAGTAAGTCATCATACAGAATTTGAATCTGAAAACAGTTCCGTCTGCTTTTTCCCTAACTCTACTGTTAAAGAACCAACCTCATCTGTATAAGAATTTTGAGTATAACCTCCTCCTCATCATCATCCCTCCTTTACCTGCTTTCACCCTGCCAAGACAAGTTTGTTTCTTTCTCTGTGTTCCCCAGTATGTCCTTTAATTTATAAAATATTTCTTATATGCATTGGCTTCTCTCAAGTTGTATGTCTTTGCTCTGCTTTAAGTTGTTAACTGATACAAGAGGAGTGGCCAAGTAATTTTTAATTTTATACTAAATTTTGAAATACATATAGCATTCTTGTTTCATAATTCTAGACTTCTTTCTTGGAGGAAAAAAACAGATATTATGCATACTGTTTTCATTCTCAAACCTAATGTCCGTAAAACTTTTTCTGTATTTTTTAAAAATTGAAATAGAAATACAAAAAGGTACACAAATCATAATAATTATGTAGTCTCAATGAAATTGTATGAAGTGAACACAACCATATAACCACGACCTAAGTCAAGAGAATAGAACATTACCTGCACTTCAGAAGTTTTCCTCATGCTTCCCTCCCATCATTATCCACTCTCTAGAAGTATAACCACTATTATGAATACCATTCTCAGTTATTTCCTTTCCCCATTTTCACACTTTGTACAAATGAAATAATTTAGTATGTATTTTTTTGAGTCTCTCTTCTTTTGTTCAGTAGTATATTTGTGAAATTCTCTTCTGTTGCTCTCATATTTCATTTTCTGTCTACTCTTGATGGACATTTTCAGTTTGGGCTATTATGAACAATTCTCCTATTAATATTTGTTACATATATTTTGATGCACCTGTGTATGTAATTTTCCTTTTGGTATATACCTGGCATATAGTGGACCTGCTAGAGCTTCAGGATGTTCAACTTAACTTTTTAACTTAATACTACCTCAAACTTAATACTACCAATTTACATTCCCACCAGCACAGCAGTATTTAAGTATTCTTTTACCCCATATTGGGAGGGTGTTTATTAGTTTCTTTGTTTGTTTTGTGTGCTATTTGCACTGCACATATGCAGTGGTATCTCATTGTGATTTTGATGTTCATCTCCCAATAATGTTGGACAGCTTTTCATATGCTTATTGGTCATTTGGACATCATCTTTTGTAAATTCCTATATAAATTTTTTGTTACCTCTTAGTTGGATTGTCTTTTTTTTCCTAGTGATTTGTATGGGTTCTTTATATATTCTAGAAAGAAGCCCTTTGTTGGATGTACCTGTTCCTACTCTCTGGCTTGCCTTTTTACCATCTTAATGGTGTCTTTGTTGAAAAGAAATTCTTCTTATTCATAAACCACACAAAAAAACAATCTTCTTTTGTGGTTAGTGCCTTTTGTGTCCTATTTAAGAAATCTTTGCCAAGTCCTAAGTAATGAAGATGTTCTATTAGGTTATCTTCTAGAAAACTCATTGTTTTACCTTTCATATTTGAGTCCATAATCCAGCTGGAATTGATTTTTATATATGGTATGAGGTAGGGGCAGGTTTTATTTTTATTCATATCATATTGATCCATCATCATTTACTGAAAGTACCATTCTGTTACTAAACTATGACAGCAACACCCTTGTCCTAAATAAGGTGAATTATGTATGTGTAGATATGCTTCTGGATTCTTTGTTCCATTCTTTGTTCCTTTGATCCACAGATTTATCTGTGCTTGTATCAGTCATACTCTGTCATAAGGGCTTTAGCACTATATTAAATCTTGATATTAAGTAATAGAAGTCATTCTTCTTCAAGTTTTCTTTACTCTTCCTGGACCTTTCCATTTCCATGTAAGTTGTAGAATCTTTTAGTTCTTACGGTGCTGTGTTCTTTATTCAGTGTTCTGGGAACAAAACCCAATGCATAAATGCACTCCTCCCAAATGGGCAAAGTGAAACAATAGCTGTAAATTTAAATAGTTTTGGGACTGGGTGGCTCAGTCAGTTAAGTGTCCGACTTCAGCTCAGGTCATGATCTCATGGTTTCCAGTGAGGGAGCAATATAACATTGGAAGCATCAATTCTAGATTCAGGGAGTCTGGGTTCTTAACCTGGCTCTACCATTTATTGCTTGTGGACATGAGCAGGTGTCTTAATTTCTCTGTGCCTAAGATTTCTCATCTGTATAATGAGAGTAATAATACCTATTTCATAAAATTGTTATAAAGACTAAGATAATTATAAAGTTTTTAAATTGGTGACTTGTACATAATATACACTATATGTCAACTAAATTGATCATATAATCTAACATGTCTTATTTTTTGTATAGATTATAAACTTTTTAAAGTCAGGGACTATACCTCCATGTTATATAAATCCTCATAATACCTAATGTTAACGTGTACATAGAAAATATTTGATATCAGAATAACTCCCTAGAAGAAAATGAAATGGAGCCCCAGAATATCTAGAGGTCAGGAATCTATGCTAAGAAGAATTTGGAAAAGCTTAGCTAGTTTAATCTATAGAAGGAGAAAGGAGTAATTCATCAGTTTGAATATAGCAGTTACCTTTTTATTTTATCAAGGAATAAGAAACCTTCATTCTTGGGGGAGAGTGGCAGGAATGAAGTAAACTTAAATATTTGTAAATAAAAATAACCTTACCGATTCTATTATATCTGTTCTGTGGCAGAGAAATCTATTTTTGTTGACTCTTGGAGAGGAAGTAGGGAAGAGACAATAGAATCTGTTTTTCTACTCTGACATAAATTCAATGAAAGTTCTACATAAATTTTTCACAGATGGAACACTTGAGTTCAGTAATCGTATACAGAAATGCACTCCACTCCTCTGCCCCCAGCTTGTAACTTTAGTAGAGAAGTTATGATAAATAAAAAGTGAATAATAATAATAATAATAATAATGTAAATCTCACTTTGTGCCATGTGGAGCAAGATTATTATTAAATGAGTAAAATTGAATATCCCAAAAAATCAAGAAGCTATTTATTATATTTTGGCATCAAACCATATGACATTATAGTTCATGCTTCCTATGCTGAAAGGACGTGTCTCAAAAAAAAAAAAAAAAAGATTTTTGTAATGTCCTATAGGATCTGTGCTACTGTGGATTATTATAAAGTTAAACCTAATGCATCTGAATGTCAAAAAAAAAAAAAAAGTTGACACTGAATCAAGTTAGTATAAACAGCTTAAATAACTTATTTCTGTATCACATTTAGAATAGATCATCTTGAGTTCCCTGGCTCCTTTTCATGTGATTTCTATAAATTCTCTATTTGGAAATAAGTGTATCTTGATGATGAATCTAAGAGAAAACCTCATACTGACTTTGTTCATCATCCCTCATTGAAAAGGTTTGAAAAAGAATAATTCTTGTAGTTGGTAACCACTGAAAAAGAGCCTAAGTAGAAAGAAACTAAAAAGCAAATTGTATGGAAAGAATGTAGCAGTCTAGAAACAGAGGGTTAAAATCAATGCCAGCCATCAGGAATTTGGGGGGGGGGGTCTAAATTTCAGGGCAAAAGTGACCTAATTTAATAGGGTTTTTCTTTTTGGAGTAATTAAAATATTCTGGTATTAGAGAGTGATGACGGTTTCATAACCTTATGAAAACAGTAAAAACCACTGAATTATACACTTTAAGAGGATACAGTTTATGGTATGTGAATTATGTATCAGTTTTTAAAAAATGACCTTGACTCTGGGGGAAGTGCTATTCAGGCCCATGTGGCCTGGGGTAGGACCCCAACCAGGGTGAATAGAGCATCCAAGTGCAGGGCGGCAGTGAGCAGCAGTGACATTTGTATTTAAAAGGGGAGCAGATTAAGTAAGGATAGTGAAAGCCAGATTTCTCACTATTGGAGAACAAATTTACAACTTTGGGAAAAAATTGCAAGGAAAAAAAGCCCTAAAATTAACCTTATCATATTGAACTGGAATTAGAGTGTCACCGTGAACTTTTTTTTTTGGGGGGGGTGTTTGTATACAGATTTGCGAGTGAGAATAAATATAAGGATGTGGGAAAGTGTGTGTATACGTACATGTCTGTATACATGTGTATGATTATATTGCCTAATTCTACCCAAGTGGATCTGGAGGACAGTGGTGTCCTAATAGCAATGAGCATACCTTTCTCCACTAAAAAGAACCAGGGCTTCTTGTAACAGTGCCTGACTCCAGGGATAGGGCAGGGGGAAAATGAGCCTGAAACATCTTGTGCCAGAAAGAAAAGAAGTGCTCTGAAAATGACACAGGTCTTTCAGAAGGTTCCAAGAGCCAAATTGAAAGGGCTTATTACTCTGGTCAAATCGGGGACAATTGAAGTGACAAAATAAATAATGGTAGTAGCAGATTATAACTCATTAAATAGATAGGAAATGTTGAGTCCACATGAATTGGTGAAGAAAAGAAACTACAGTAGAAAGAGTAATGGAGGGGCGCCTGGGTGGCTTAGTCGGTTAAGCATCCGACTTTTGCTTAGGTCATGATCTCGCGGTTTGTGGGTTCAAGCCCCGCGTCGGGCTCTGTGCTGACTGCCAGCTCAGAGCCTGGAGCCTGTTTCAGTCTGTGACTCCCTCTCTCTCTGACCATCCCCTGCTCATGCTGTCTCTCTCTCTCTCTCCTAGAAATAAATACAACATTTAAAAAAAAAAAAAAAAGAAAGAAAGAGTAATGGGTTATAGGGGACTCTTGAATGCCGAGAACAAACTGAGGGCAGATGGGAGTGGGGGGGAGGAGAA